CCCGTTTTTTATATCTCGTGAGTCAGTACCTCCTCAGCTGCTGTAGGGGGTGTATGTCAGTCGACCTTTCGTCATATCGCCTGCGGGTAGGCGCAGTCGAAACGTTTGTCGTGAGGATATCAGTCCTCTCCACATCTTTGAGTATATGATGTAATATAGTCGTAATGGCGTAGTGCTTTTTCCTGATAATTACCTTACCCTACCTTTATCTACCTGTGCCTGTTTCAAGGGGCAACAAGTCCTCGTCAACTCTGCAACTAAAAATTGAATATCATTAACAACAACACTCACACACCAACCATGTCGTTGCATCCTAATTGAGCCGCATTGCATTCAATTGGGTCAAAAACTACCGAGAGTGAGAAACGGGAAGCAGAGGTCCTCAAACGAGCTCATTTAAGGTTGCTTGTAGTTAGGCATAACTTGATTGGCAGAAGTAAGAAACAGGCATTTTTTATACTGAGGGTATAATCATCTCAAGGTAACCTCAAGGGTTAATTAACACGGCATGTAAAGCTGTCCTGGTCCTCAGTAAAGCCCTCCTGGTCCTCAGTAAAGCCCTCCTGGTCCTCAGTAAAGCCCTCCTGGTCTTCAGTAAAGCCCTGCTGGTCTTCAGTAAAGCCCTCCTGGTCCACAGTAAAGCCCTCCTGGTCCTCAGTAAAGCCCTCCTGGTCTTCAGTAAAGTCCTCCTGGTCCTCAGTAAAGCCTTCCTGGTCCTCAGTAAAGCCCTCCTGGTCCTCAGTAAAGCCCTCCTGGTCCTCAGTAAAGCCCTCCTGGTCCTCAGTAAAGCCCTCCTGGTCCTCAGTAAAGCCCTCCTGGTCCTCAGTAAAGCCCTCCTGGTCCTCAGTAAAGCCCTCCTGATCCTCAGTAAAGCCCTCCTGGTCCTCAGTAAAGCCCTCCTGGTCCTCAGTAAAGCCGTGCTTTTGACTTAATAATGTCATCGTTAGACACAAAACGAATTAAAGCAGCGTCACTTGAGCCTAAGAGATAGCACTAACATTGTTTAGTGTTTAATTCCTTCCACGACGACTCAATGTGATCGAGTTTCAGTGGTCCCGAGAAGGAAGCCAGGAGCTAGAGCTCGTGCCCTGCTCTTAGATATAGGTGAGCACACACACATCTACACACACATTGCAGCATATGCGAGGCTGGCTAACATCAGAACAGCGTTCAGGAACCTGTGTAAGGAATCATTCAGAATCTTGTACACCACATATGTAAGACCAATCCTGGAGTATGCGGCCCCAGCATGGAGCCCGTACCTTGTCAAACACAGGACGAAGCTGGAAAAACTACAAAGGTATGGCACTAGACTAGACCCAGAACTAAGAGGCATGAGTTACGAGGAAAGACTGCTGGAAATGCACCTTACGACACTGGAAGACAGAAGAGTAAGGAAAGACATGATCACAACCTACAAAATCCTCAGGGGAATCGACCGGGTAAACAAGGATAAACTATTCAACACTGGTGGTACGCGAACAAGGAGACACAGGTGGAAACTGAGTACCCACATGAGCCACAGGGACGTTAGAAGGAACTTTTTCAATGTCAGAGTAGTTAACGGATGGAATGCATTAGGCAGTGATGTGGTAGAGGCAGACTCCATACATAGTTTCAAATGTAGATATGATAGAGCCCAGTAGGCTCAGGAATCTGTACACCAGTTGATTGACAGTTGAGAGGCGGGACCAAAGAGCCAAAGCTCAACCCCCGCAAGCACAAATAGGTACAAAGACATACACATACGCGCGCGCACTCAACAAAAGTCAGCAACAAAAGTTAGCTGACAACAACAGTCAGCTAATAGGCTCGGACTTGAAAGTCGCTGGACGTTGAGGGTGAGGTCGGCGGGAGCCGGTCAGTCTCGCCCCGGCGGCCGAAGGGGTAGGATGTTCTGCGTCGCTCCTCGTACTCTGTCTCTTCCCTCACCCCAGCCTTCACAACCTTTTTCTTTCTGGTCCCTGGAAACGTATCTCTGCCTTTCAACTGTTCTCAAGTGAACGTCGCCATGTTTCTCTCCACGGGCGAAACAAATGAGGCAATAGTTTCGCGCCGAAGGTGAAGTAACAAAATTTTCACTTGTTACGTCTTCTAAATCCAGAAGTTTATTTATTGAAACATTTTAAACAAGCAGTATTTCAATGGTTGTATTCATTAACACACGTATCTATATATATTTATGATATATTTTTGTGGTATGTTTATAATATGGAGCCATCAGTATTGGTCCAATTGGGTTGTATATGGTTGATCTTCACGTACAGGACGTGATTATAACAGGAGCCACGTCATGTGTATGTGGGTGTAGAATACACAGGCGTGCCGGGAGTAGCAGTACTCTACACACGTCACTCCCTATTCGCGTAGTTTGACTGATTCGCCAAGTATCTCCGCAGATACTTTACTTGAGGTATGTTATATAGTCTTCGGCTCTCTCTCTCCCTCTCTCTTCCTCTCTCTCTCTCTCTCTCTCCCTCTCTCTCTCTCTCTCTCTCTCTCTCTCTCTCTCTCTCTCTCTCTCTCTCTCTCTCTCTCTCTCTCTCTCTCTCTCTCTCTCTCTCTCTCTCTCTCTCTCTCTCTCTCCTCTCTCTCTCTCTCTCTCTCTCTCTCTCTCTCTCTCTCTCCTCTCTCTCTCTCTCTCTCTCTCTTTTCTCCTCTCTCTCTCTCTCTCTCTCTCTCTCTCTCTCCTCTCTCTCTCTCTCTCTCTCTCTCTCTCTCTCTCTCTCTCTCTCTCTCTCTCTCTCTCTCTCTCTCTCTCTCTCTCTCTCTCTCTCTCTCTCTCTCTCTCTCTCTCTCTCTCTCTCTCTCTCTCTCTCTCTCTCTCTCTCTCTCTCTCTCTCTCTCTCTCTCTCTCTCTCTCTCTCTCTCTCTCTCTCTCTCTCTCTCTCTTCTCTCTCTCTCTCTCTCTCTCTCTCTCTCTCTCTCTCTCTCTCTCTCTCTCTCTCTCTCTCTCTCTCTCTCTCTCTCTCTCTCTCTCTCTCTCTCTCTCTCTCTCTCTCTCTCTCTCTCTCTCTCTCTCTCTCTCTCTCTCTCTCTCTCTCTCTCTCTCTCTCTCTCTCTCTCTCTCTCTCTCTCTCTCTCTCTCTCTCTCTCTCTCTCTCTCTCTCTCTCTCTCTCTCCCCACAGCCTGTGTCTTACAAACGAGCCTGTGTCTTACGAGCGAGTCTGTGTTGTATCAAGTTATACATCGTATTTCTTTCCCTTTCTTCCCCGCCAATAAATTTACTACAACACAAAATAACCCCATTAAACTAGAAAGTGAAATTGGCGGAGCTTGAACCACGACCAGAGAGAGAAACGAGCCCCGGAGATCACCATTATTTTCACTGCAATATTAAATGGAATGAATTGCGTCAACGTAACTTACGAGGTGGAACTACCTCGTAGTTCCAGCTCGTCCTGACATTAATTTTCGATGTATCAATTTCATTTTTATACCAATGTGTTCACCATAGAATGTTCTAGAAGAGCATAAGTATAAAATGTCACACAAAGATGCGTTAGACCGGCACCAAATAAAAGACTACGTCGATTACATTCATCGTTTCAACAATACAATGGTCTTACCACGATGATGCAATGCCATGCCGTTCTCCCAAATAGGCTATGCGGCTATTAGAGAAAACGCAAATTTCATGGCAAACATTTGTAAACTATCCCAAAGTCGATCGAATAAAAAATGGATTTTATACAAATATTTTTTCACGTGACTCGTGAGCGAGTCCGTTACGCGCACTCCAGAGAAAAGTTGGTAACTCCTCCAGGAGTTACAGATGCGCGAAAGTGATTAACACTTACACAGAGTGAAACTGCTTCAATAGAAGCAGAGTTTCCATTTGTATTTCTCTACCAATTGGACATGGAAGCTGGACTTGAGCTTACAAGGAAATACAGAAGGATGATATTCTCTTCACGATCGCGGCGAGATGAAGTAGTTTCGTTTTTATTTTTGTTAGCCCTTAAGTGTATGTGGGAAACTGCGGATGAATTCAGCGGATGTAGAGTTGATAGCTGCTGCCAACAGATGTCTCTGGCGGCCTAGTGCCCGTTTTTTATATCTCGAGTGTCAGTACCTCCTCAGCTGTCGTAAGAGGTGTATGTCAGTCGACCTTTCGTCATATCGCCTGAGGGTAGGCGCAGTCGAAATGTTTGTCGTGAGGATATCAGTCCTCTCCACAACTTTGAGTATATGTTGTAATGGCGTAGTGCTTTTTCCTGATAATTACCTTACCCTACCTATATCTACCTGTGCCTGTTTCAAGGGGCAACAAGTCCTCGTCAACTCTGCAACTAAAAATTGAATATCATTAACAACAACACTCACACACCAACCATGTCGTTGCATCCTAATTGAGCCGCATTGCATTCAATTGGATCAAAAACTACCGAGAGTGAGAAACGGGAAGCAGAGGTCCTCAAACGAGCTCATTTAAGGTTGCTTGTAGTTAGGCATAACTTGATTGGCAGAAGTAAGAAACAGAGGCATTTTTTATACTGAGGGTTAATTAACACAGCATGTAAAGCCCTCCTGGTCCTCAGTAAAGCCCTCCTGGTCTTCAGTAAAGCCCTCCTGGTCTTCAGTAAAGCCCTCCTGGTCCTCAGTAAAGCCCTCCTGGTCTTCAGTAAAGCCCTCCTGGTCCTCAGTAAAGCCCTCCTGGTCTTCAGTAAAGCCCTCCTGGTCTTCAGTAAAGCCCTCCTGGTCCTCAGTAAAGCCCTCCTGGTCTTCAGTAAAGCCCTCCTGGTCCTCAGTAAAGCCCTCCTGGTCTTCAGTAAAGTCCTCCTGGTCCTCAGTAAAGCCCTCCTGGTCTTCAGTAAAGTCCTCCTGCTTTTGACTTAAGAATGTCATCGCTAGAAACAAAACGAATTAAAGCAGCGTCACTTAGGCCTAAGAGAACGTTTTAAGGGTTAGTACAGAGCGCATATTGACACAAGAATAAACCAAGGAGAGGCTAGTTGATTATTGTTTAGTGTTTTAATTCCTTCCACGACGACTCAATGTGGTCGAGTTTCAGTGGTCCCGAGAAGGAAGCCAGGAGCTAGAGCTCGTGCCCTGCTCATAGATATAGGTGAGCACACACAGAGACATAAACACACATAAACATACACACAGACGCGCGCGCACGCAACAACAGTCAGCAACAAAAGTTAGCTGACAACAACAGTCAATTGACAACAGTCAGCTAATAGGCTCGGACTTGAAAGTCGCTGGACGTTGAGCGTGAGGTCGGCGGGAGCCGGTCAGTCTCGCTCTGGCGGCCGGAGAGGAAGGACGTTCCGCGTCGCTCCTCGTACTCCGTCTCTTCCCTCATCCCAGCCTTCACAAACTCTTCCTTTCTGGTCGCTGGAAACGTGTCTCCACCTTTCAAGTGAACGTCGCCATGTTTCTCTCCACGGGCGAAACAAATGAGGCAATAGTTTCGCGCCGAAGGTGAAGTAACTTAGAAATATATTCTCACCTGTTTCGTCTTCTAAATCCAGAAGTTTATTTATTGAAAACACTTTAAATAAGCAGTATTAGTGGTCATATTCAATAACACTCACACGTATTTATATATATTTATGATATATTTTTGTGATAGTCATCTGTATAGGTGCAATTGGGTTTCATTTGGTTGATCATGGACAGGACGTGATTATAACTACACACGGCGCTCCCTATGGGCGTAGTTTGACTGATTCGCCAAGTATCTCCTCAGATACTTCAGTTGAGGTATGTATACAGTATCTCTCTCTCTCTCTCTCTCTCTCTCTCTCTCTCTCTCTCTCTCTCTCTCTCTCTCTCTCTCTCTCTCTCTCTCTCTCTCTCTCTCTCTCTCTCTCTCTCTCTTTCAAGAGAAAAATGTTAGAAAGTGTTCTTTTACAAACAGAATGGTAGACAGTTGGAACAAGCTAAGGTTTGAAGCCAAAACCGTTAGTAGTTTCAAAGGCTTATATGACAAAGAGTGCTGGGAAGACGGGACACCACGAGCGTAGCTCTCATCCTGTAACTACACTTAGGTAATTACACACACACACACACACACTTGATTGACAGAGTGGACATAGACGAAATGTTCACACGGAATAGTAACAGAACGAGGGGACATGGATGGAAGCTTGAAACTCAGATGAGTCACAGAGATGTTAGGAAGTTTTCTTTTAGCGTGAGAATAGTGGAAAAATGGAATGCACTTCAGGAACAGGTTGTGGAAGCAAATACTATTCATAATTTTAAAACCAGGTATGATAGGGAAATGGGACAGGAGTCATTGCTGTAAACAACCGATGCTCGAAAGGCGGGATCCAAGAGTCAATGCTCGATCCTGCAGACACAACTAGGTGAGTACAACTAGGTGAGTACACACACACACACACACATGGCCCTGTGTGTGTATCTCAGCAAATACTCGAGCGACACACATGACCCTGTGTGTCGCTCGAGTATCAACAAACCTGCCCAACAGTGTCGAGTTACTCCTCGACAAATATCCTAAATATTTCAATCCCCCCAAAATACATTCTTGTTTAAGAGAAAATCCCGCGTCGGTACTGAAACGTTGCAGGAGATTAGCAATAATATGAAGAAATATCGAAGATTAGTGATAATTCGAGGATAATTAGCTGGAACGATTAGCTGGATCTGCCTCTCCTTACGAGGCAGATCATTTATTTGAAGTTTAATGATAATTGGGTTGTTATTGACCACCTTAAAGCGCCATTTTCATCCTTAATGATCTGATCCTCAATCTGTCAAGGAGAAAATTACCAGACATCTATTAAATATGAGGACGTTGAGTGGGAGAGGTAGGAAGGATGAGTAACGGAAAGGAGGAAGAAGGAAGAGAAAAGAGTAAAGAGAAAGGAAAAAAGTAAAAATGCAGATAAAAGAAGGAATGAAAAGGGAAGGAGAAAAGGTCTAAGGGAACAGTGAAGAAATAAAGTAAGGAGTAAGAAAAGAGTGTGGAAGGATAAAGGGGAAGAAGGAATGGCAAAGGAAGAGGGAAGAAATGAGAAAGGGGAGGAGGATGCACAAAATAAACAGTCGAAAAAAGGAAACTGAATTAGAGAGATGTGATGAAGCGAGCGCCTCCCCCCCCCTCCTCCCTCCCCCTCTTGATGCTAGGCTTCCTCCCTCCTCAAATGAATTCCTCCTTCCACAGCTGCATTCCTCCTCAGCTGAACTGCTCCTTTCCTCAGTTGCATTCCGCTTTCTTCCTTCATGCTTTCATTATTCTCATTCCCTTTCCGATTCATTCCTCGACGACTTGTATTCCTCGTCTGCTTTATTATTCATTATTTGTATTCATTGAAAATCACACTTGTATAACAGGATTTTATTGAGGGCGCGCTTTATGTGATGTTAATGGCAGTTACGAGCCCTAGTTATTGAGTAATTAAATAGTATTAACTGATAATTGCACACTACAGGCTCGGGGGGTGGGGATGGGGTAGTCTTTGAATAGTGGAGATTATAGTGATTGTTTTTTCGTGTGTGTGTGTGTGTGTGTGTGTGTGTGTGTGTGTGTGTGTGTGTGTGTGTGTGTGTGTGTGTGTGTGTGTGTGTGTGTGTGTGTGTCGACTCGAAGCTAACCCTCGCTAAACTTAAATTTAAAAATCAATCATGATGGATGACCCGAAAAAATTCACATATTATGCATGACCTTCACGGCGCCCTTTTCACTATCCCCCCTATTCTTTTCCCTTCTGCCTCCTCCGTCTTCTCTTCCTCCTCCTCCTCTTCCTTCACCACCTCCTTCGTAAACTCAGGCGGAACCCGTATAAAATCTAGGTTAAGCCCAGAGTGACATTAAAAATATCTGAGGAGCTGCGAAGCCTCATAAGAACGTTTAATGTGCTAAGGTGCAGCAGGTGGCACCTTGGCACCTAAGGTGGCTCTCGTCTTGGGTTCCAGCTGGCCAGCGTTATGTCACTGGTGTGCTAGGATACCAGCTGGCTGACCAATGTTACGTCAATAAAGCAATATTAGGATATTGTATTGACAAAATTTATTTCTAACAAGCCTAGGTTTACCTATATTAGGCAGAAATATTAGGCTGATTTAAATTATATGTCAGGTTTCTGACTTTATTTTAACTCAACGAAAACATTCCTGTCATATATATATCATCCTATATCAAACACTCTTACTATGCCACAATAGTTTCACGGCTACTGAGCTTTAGATCAATCTTTGGAATCTGCCTTAAAAGGTTTCCTTAGAATGAAGGAAAAACCGTTTTGCAAAATGGAAAGACTGTCTTGACGTCTGGACCCCCTCATACTCCTGGGTCAGAAAGAGACACGGCGTTGAGGAACAATCAAGCGATGGATGTTAGTAGTTAAGTCAATTTAATGCAATGTAAGCACTGCCGGAGATGAGATGCTGGGTGCTGGCCAGATGCATATGGCGGCCGTCTCTCACCCTTGGTACACTCACATTAATAATGGAAAGAGAAAGCTCTTTACAACTGTGGTGAGGATCGTATAATTTCATCTTTGGAAAGCATTTTTTTATGGAGGTTCTTGCATGAGTAGAGGACGATGAGTCACAATAACGTGGCTAAAGTATTTTGACCTTCAATCATCACAATCGACTTGAAAATGGTCCAGGACGGACCGAAATGTCGTCCCTTTATTTTATAGTGTGTGGTCTGGTCAACATGAGTAGAGTTGTGACTTCTGTTAGCAGACTGAGAGTTTAACCCTTCCCATAGCTCATGGTAAACCTTGCCCCCTACTAGTTTCTTTTCCCGGAACACCATCCGCTAATCGGTGTATTCACAGGTCCCCAATTGCTTTTGGGTTGAACAGAAACGAACTGTTAGGGATTGGTTCCCAGTCAATCTTCCCTGGGTTTTGTGTTCCCTGTGTGGGTGTGTGTATCATGTGTGTGTATGTCTAACTACTAGGCCTAGTAGTTCTTACTAGGAACCTAGTAGTACTGACCGTCGTTAGGATGCCAACCACTACAGCTCTATGAACACCAAGGTACCTATTTACTACTATTGTATGTGGACAAAGCCTAGGCTGACCTATCTAAGGTATAACTATACCAAAAATTATATTTACTTTATAATTATAAAAATTATAACTACTTATTTTTTTATATTTTATTCGATGTGACATTTAATTTATTACATATTGTCTCAGTTTACATAAAAGATACATATATAGCACTGTTTGAAAACCATCCAGCTTTGTAGAGATGGGTTGTGTGTCCCAAATTCAGTAGGCATTTTCTCTGTGGGATCGAGACTTTCCTGTCTGAGGTGCTGGAACAGGACACTGGCTGCTCTTGAGTCTCTTAAGTTTGCCTAATGAGTTTCTCACCCGCCACCTTTAGAAACTTAAATGCACATTTGCCAAAGGCGCCCAGGGCATGAGAGGCTATTTTAGTAATTTTCAGGCAGCCCCCCTCCTCCCTCAGCGGTGCTGTGCGGTAGATAGGTATCAGCCAATGTAACTATGGGCTCACCATAGCCCGTGCTACTTGGAATTTTTTGTTCCAAGTAGCGAATCTTAAACAACAACAGCCAATGTAAATACACAGGTGTAATCCCACACAACCTATTTACCCACTAATAGCGGGGCGAATGATGTTGATGGAAGCTCTGCAACATACTTTCATACATAAAGGTCAACATACTTTCATACATAAAGGTCAACATACTTTCATACATAAAGGTCAACATACTTTCATACATAAAGGTCAACATACTTTCATACATAAAGGTCAACATACTTTCATACATAAAGGTCAACATACTTCATACATAAAGGGCAACATACTTTCATACATAAAGGTCAACATACTTTCATACATAAAGGTCAACATACTTTCATACATAAAGGTCAACATACTTTCATACATAAAGGTCAACATACTTTCATACATAAAGGTCAACATACTTTCATACATAAAGGTCAACATACTTTCATACATAAAGGTCAACATACTTTCATACATAAAGGTCAACATACTTTCATACATAAAGGTCAACATACTTTAGCCACGTTATAGTGACTCATCGCCTGCACAAGCTCTTCAAGTTCCTCTAGGACATCTTCGTCTTCCCCCTCTTCTTCAACTCCCTCCTCTTTCTCACCCTCCTCATCCTTGTAATTAAGTCTTGGGTTTCAGAAGGTGTCGCCTCACTTCTCGATGACTGTTAGTCTCGTCACCGTCGTAAACCACCTTCACCGTCACTGCTCTGCCTCTCCTGCCACAGTGCGCCTTTCGTGTTTTCAATTTTGTTCTGCTTCCTCTATCTGCCCCCGCTGCTGCCAGTGGCAGAAACAATGACAAGAAATATGTCTATCCAGAATCCTTACAGTCAGAAATGCTCTCCTGAAGGACCGTCAGTCTGCCCAGATTCCTTCCAGACTGACAGGCTCTTGCGAGACGTCGACGCAGGAGTCCACGTGGATGACATACACTGTCGTTCTTGAATGGGCTTTCTGGTGTAAGTCGCGAAAGTTTTTTTTTTCCGTGGCATTCTTGACCAGTTCCTTTGATGTACGCTGGGGGCATTGCCGACAATTCGGCTTCTTGAGGTTATCTTGAGATGATTTCGGGGGCTTAGTGTCCCCGCGGCCCGGTCCTCGACCAGGCCTCCACCCCCAGGAAGCAGCCTGTGACAGCTGACTAACTCCCAGGTACCTATTTACTGCTAGGTAACAGTGGCATCAGGGTGAAAGAAACTGCCCATTGCTTCTCGCCGGCGCCCGGGA